ATCCTTGCCTTCCTCTTCCCAGTGTGTCCCTGAGATACCTCCAGTGTGGCATGCGGGGGTGCTCCTTGCCCCTTACCACACCAGCGAGGGTCTCCCTAAGCACGGACCTCATGGACAGCCTTTCTGAGCGGGGAGACTCATCCCACTTCCAGGCAGTCCTGCTCAGCAGACTGGGGCTCAGGAGGCCAAAAGGGGGCCCTGCCTAGATAGGCGGCCTTCACAACAGACTGTCCAGAGGCACAGTGTGGGCCAGGAGTGGCCCTGCCAAGAGCTACGGCCTGGGAAGCCAGGGTGGAAGGTGTAGGCCCCCCTGGAATCCTTAAGGGACCAAATAGGTCTGGGGCTCTGGAAAGAGCTTCTCAGCAGTGATCAGTGTGGCCTGAGGGAGAAGACGCGTCTTTCTGCTTGGAATAAATAAGTTAAGGTCATTCTTATAATGACCATTTATTGATCATCTGCAGAGGGTGTAGCACTACCCTGTGTGCGCACTCACTGCTGTGGGTTCACACGATGGGATAAAGTTGGAGCTTTCACACAGGACAGTCAGGGAAGGCTTCTACTCGACAATCACTCATAGGTAAAGTGCCAGCTTTGGTCTTATTTTCATTTAGAAATGTCTTTAAATATCTGACCTGGATCCCACACCTGCAAAGTGAAGACACTTTGCTGGAACAGATGCTTTTCTGCTGAGGGTGCCAATGAACGTCACAGGGCCCTAAGGAACACGCATAGGACGCCTCCTCCCCACATAGGGCTGCCCACGGCTGAGAGTGCCAGACGATGGTGTGGGCACTGCCCAGGGATGAAATGTCACTTGTTTTTGCCTCAGAAGACTGAAATTTATGCCTCTCAGGCTGTGTTAGGAAATCATTTAAGATTGTAGCTATTTCTGGAAAAGGCCAGTAACAAAGAAACACACCAGTGAGAAGGCAGGGCAGGGGGCAGGTGAGGACAGCTGGGAGCTGGACGGATGGTGCCCCACCCCACGGCTCGGCCTCCTCCCCTCAACTGCCATGTCATTTGTCTCAGCAAACAGAAAACAAGAATGCGGTTCTTTTAAAAGGTAAAAGGACACAGATGATCATTCCCAGCACAAATCTCATGCTGTTGATTCCCACTCCTGACACCTGCTTCACACATGCAGAGGACTCGGTGAGTGTTTCTACTCTCAGTTCAGAGTCTGGCTCTGTCTCCTGGGACTGGGGCACACTGGGAATGAGCCTGCACTGGGCCTTCACAGCACACGCTGCAGGTGGCCGGCGCAACCCACCCCCAGGCTAAGCACGACACAGTCGTAATAAACATTACTCCTATGGGGTAAGAGCCCTTTAAAGCACTTTGAAATCTGATTTCACCACCTGACACCTGCAGCTTCCAAGCATGCAGTGCACTGTTCTCAGGGTGGCAAGACCTTTTTCCCTCCCCTGCCTGCCTTTTTGCCACGTGGCTGTGCCCCTACTTCTGTCCAGAGATAGAGCCTTTCTCCACCCTGAGGCTGGTTAGGCCACGTGATTTGCTCTGGCTACAGACATGAGTGAACATGATACAAGCCTCTGCTTGGGGTGCACCTGCACCCTGGGAGCTGCCCGAGACAGAGGCGCTGTGTCTTCACAGCTGTCTCCCCAGCCCACAGTGGTGGCTTGTTTCAGGCTGACCCACTGCTGAGGTTTTGCAGACTCCACTGTATGTGAGGGTTGTAGAGCCCAGTCAAAAGAAGAGACAATAATTAGAACAGATTTTGACTTCTTGGCTCCTGCATTTATCTTTTGTGATCTTGGGACAGTCACTTAATCTCCTCAGGGCTCAGTTTTCTAGTCTGTGAAGGGGGCACTCCAGGATTGCAGGGTATAGAATGCCCATATAGGGCCTGAGCATGGTGCCACTGTCCCCCCTCCTTGCCCCACTGTGGAAACATGCCCACCCCATCCTTAGGTTGCCTGGTTTCCCCTCTCTTGACCCCTCAGCTGCTATTCTCTCCTGTGACATGGCCACCAGAACTGCGAATTCCACATCCAGTGGACCACACTGTCACAGGATGGGTCAATATCTGGGTCATCATAGAGATTCACAAATGGACCTAGATCCTTTAGTCAGGTTACAGTTGATGGCTCAGATCCTACCATTTGATGTTTTGTAAGTAAGTATTTTCACTGGCATTTTTTAATAACAAAAGAAATTAATGTTCATTGTAAAAAGAAAAAAAATACAGAAATGTAAAGCATGAAAAGCAAGACCATCTCGTGGGAAATGAGCTAAAAACCAGAAAATGGTTGTGTAAGGGGACAAGTTTCATGGAGCCTGGGGACCATCACTGTGAGTGGTCACCTGCTCCCAGCAGCTTCTAAGATACCCCCACATGCATTTTTGGGGGGACTTTGTGCTCACCTATTATTGGAGATTGAACCAGATGCCAGGTTCATGCGTGCAGACCATGGTCCCCAGGACCCATGACCCATGATCCAGGGCCTCCCACTCAGGAGCCCTGAATGCCAGAGAAGGTGAGACTCACAACAGAGAAGCCTCTCCTGGGAGTGGGGAAGAAGCACCTGGAGATACCCAAAGGGGAGGAAAAGGGTGGGCAGGTCATGTGAGATAACAAACAGGCCAGGTCTTGGGGGAGCAGCTGGCACGTTGACGGCACTGGCATGATAGAGCCAAACAGCCTTGGCTTCCTTCTGTAATTTACCTGCTGCTATGGGGACTACCCAGTGGAGGCTGCAGACTCTGGGCCAGACAAGCCCAAGCCCTGTGTGGGAGGGTCATGGGGGAAGGATTTGAGACCCTGGAACCATTCAAAATCCGTTCAAAGTCCACAAGAGCTTGGACACCATGCCAGATAGAGCTTCCTGGCCCCAATCTGTGCAGGTGACAGAGGAGGGGTGCTCCTGTGGCCCAGGTGGGCATCAGAGTCCCCAGCCGCAATGGGCTGTTGTCTAGCCCTTGCCACTCCCCACTCCATACCAGAGGGAGGAGGGCATCCATGTTTCTGACATCCAGCTCCCCACACCTGGCCTGTGTTACAGCAAGTGGCACTCAGATGACCAGGTCATGTCTCGGGAAAAAAAATAACATCTTCCACCCACTATTGTTTGCCCCTGACTTGGGAGCATTTTCATCATTATAACCAAAATGATGGTGAAGAGGGTGAAGGGGATATTGCAACATCTTCAGGAGTCCAGAGAGGAGGGCAGGGCATCAGAGCACACAGCAGCTGTGACTGGACTGACAGGGGAAGCCCTAGGGGAAGGTCCCCACCACCAGCTCAAGGCCCTTGGCTCCCTCCTCCCCTCCGCTCTTAAGGTGTGAGGGTAGGAGAAGGAACAAAGAGAGTAAGAAGGCTGCCATCTGTCACCCAGGAGGCCCTCGCTGCTGTGACTTATAAGGGGGAAACAGGGGCAGACACCCCAGGTCCCCGCTGCCCCATTCATGTCTGAACCCTCAAGAGGCCCAGGGATCAGGAACCAGGGGCCTGAGCCGTGGCCCTAAAAGTAAGGCAGGCTGACCAAGCACAGACTGTGGGCCCAGCTCTGCCTGGATGGGGCACTCTGGGAATGTATATGTGGTGACAGTTACCCGTTGTCACTGTCACTATTGCTACTGTCTTTCCTTTCCTCCCACCTGGGCAGAGACACTGGGACTGCATCCAGCCTGCCAACACCTATGGGATGTCTGCCCTGTGGCAGGAGCTGGAGAGGCAACAGAAGAAAAGATGTCACGGGGCAGGGACCTGTGCCCTCAGGGCCACACACGGCCCTCCTGATCCCCGACTGCGGCCTCCCAACTGAATCCAGGTTCTTTATTAAAAGGACATGTTCTGTAAAACTTGGATTCAGTCAAAAGGCTACACTCAAGGATCTGGAAGGCCACAGGTGGCTCCAAGTCCCTGTATTCCCCACCTGTGCTGGAAAGCAGAGTGCCTGTCCTCAAACATCCTAAGCAGGACAGACTTCTGGCGATGTCATGCCACACCGTGAAAACATGGCCACAACAGAACCTTGCAGGAGTCATGTACTTGGGCGTGTGGCTTTCTGAGGGTCTCATCTTTGGATACTGTCCCCGGTGCTGCTGGTCTGGGGGCCCTGTTGGAGCCTGTCCCACAGCTGGGGGCCATGAGCAAGGGAGCCACCAGGCCCCACTGCAGTGAGCACCCAAGAGGCTGCTGTGAGCCTGGGTCAACCCAGAGCTGCACACTGTCCTCTGGTCTGTCTGGGGGGCTCCTTGGTGTCAACCCTCACACTTTCCCAAGTTTGGCAACACCTTTCTAGAAGCAACTGTTTCCTTCCAGGTTCAAAACAGCATGAGCCACAGAATACATCATGGCCAGGGACTCCACGGCTGCCTCATTTGGCCACATTCTTCATTCCATATGTAGGTCACTATGAAAGTTTTGAGACAGACTGTGTTATGTTCCATTATTTCACTTCCAAGAAACACCGTCGACGGACGGCGTCCTTTCTGATTCAACTTGCTCATCTCACTGGTGTTCCTGTGAGGGCTTCATTTCTATTCATGTGGTTTTTACGTTTCTTGATTTTTGTGCATCTCAAAATTTTCTTAATGACCTGTGTTTTTATTTGAGGAAAACCCCCAACCCCAGCAGCCCGGGCCTGCAGAGCCTGGCTTGGCAATGGCAAGTGGGAACGACCACTCTCACACACCACCCTCGGAGTTGGCTGTGTCTTGAACCCCCAGCATGGCCTGCCACTGTTCACTCTGCATGGTGAGGTCTGAGGAAGAAGGCCTGGGGACAGCCTGGGGAGCTCTGCCTGGGAAATGCCTGTGCAGGCTGTGCGCCTCCCCCGCCAGTGTCTGAGTGGTACCCACAGCCCTCTGTGTGTCCATGTCTGGAATCTAACACTTGAGAGATGGAGGCATTCTGTCTTCCACAGCTCAGGGAAGAAGCCTCCATGCTCTGCTCACAACCACCCGCCATGCTGCCAGCAGCCCTGGGTGGCCAGCAGCTCAAGGTGACCTCTGGGGAGAGCAGGGGCCACACTTACCCGCCACCCGTGCCGCCGTTCTTGCTGAAATGCGTGCGTGGCTCGCTGGAGGCCAGCTTCAGCAGCTCCGTCCACTCCCGCTCCCATTCCTCCTCTGTGTACACCAGCCCTGACTGGCACAAAGGGGAGCAGGAAGGGTGGGGATGGGCCCCATCTCTTCCCCACTGGGATAGTCCTGGGCAGCTGTGCTGAGTGCCCAGCTCTGTCATCCTCACCAGCCTGCACTTCAGCATGCTGGGCACACCTGTCAGCAGCCACTGCCTCCCCCAGCCCCCCTGATATGTACAATATGTTTTTAGAAACCATAATCCTATTTCAGAACTGTTGGGAGTCCAGCCACCAACAAGGGTCATTCCCATGCACCAATACTTCTGGGCATCCCCTAGCTCAGGGCTGACCACTGAAAAGTTGACAGGGATATGGGGCCAATTTCAGTCAGAAAAAAAGCAAAGTCTTTACCCAGGAGGGCAAAGTGCTAAGGTTCACCATGGCGAGGGATGACTGAGCTCACACATGGGGGCTGGGGCCCTGGGCTGTGCTGACAGTGGGGAACTATAGACTTCACAGTCCAAGCTGGGGCACTTTTGTGGGTAAAGGAGGCCAGCTTGCATAACTATGCCTTGAGGGGGTATGCATGGACAAGTGGTTGAAATCTGCTGGAGATCATCTTCTTTGGGCTGAAATGGACTTGGGCCTGAGGGTCACTCCCTGGACTCCAGCAGGGCCTGAGGCGGCACCTGGCGAGGGTCAGGGCCCAGCCACACAGCAGGTACCAACCTCTTTGTTCTGTTGTGTCTGCTGCCATCTCCACCTCCGCTTCAGGGCTTCCCGTTCGGCCCCCGTCCTCATCATGGTGTATAGAGCTTTCCGCAACACCAGGTCCCGGTCATGAAACCCCCACATTCCTATAGCCAGAGGCCATGGGGAGCAGAGGAGAGAAAAGGACACAGGAGGGGACAAGCTACAGGTGACTCACGCCACCCTGACCTGGGCTGGTCTCCCATGTCTGCACACACAAAGCTGTCTCCTTAATCAGCTGTTCATTTTCATCACCAGCTCATCATTCTCCTCTATTACAGCTCTTTCCTGAGGGACCTAATGGCCACCATCTACGTTTCACATCAGGGAGACTTTTGCAGATATGTCCTCACATAGGGCCATTAGCATCCTGGCTTCCTCAGTGTCTGCCACATCTGATGTCGGCAGCCCTGGGGCGTCTCAGCTTCCAGAGCATCAGTGGACACCACCGCACACATCTGGCCCAGGAAGACAGCCTGTCATCTTTGAGTATGTGCCCTGGGTGGCTCAGATGTGGTCAAGAAACCCAAACCATGCGTGCAGTGCTGAAGAGAGGGGCAGCCCTCGCCACAGGGAACACATTCATTCATTCATTCCTGTACTCTTCAAGGTGCTGAGAATATGCTTGGCAGCGACCAGGACACACTTAGCTCCTAAAATCTCATGGAACACTTATTGTGCAGAATGAGGCAGCCACTAAGTTAATGCATAGCATCTGCTTCTGGGAGAGTTGGAATGGTGTAAATGGAGACTTCATCCCTTGGAGTGAAGTCTTCAACAGGTGAGAGAGGAAGCTGAGGGGATATCCTAGGCACAAGGAAAGGCCGGGGCCAGGCTAAGATGGGGAGCCTATAAATGTACTTGAGAAAAGGCAGGAGGGAAGGTGGCTAGAGTCAGGATGGGGGGATGAGGTGGGGCTTGGTGGGACCCTGGGAAAGGCTGCAGAGGAGGGGAGGCACAAGCTGCCTGCTGGATTTAGGGCTCATGCTGACTGTACACTTGGATGTGCAATAGGGAAGGGCTGCTGTGGGCTTCCTGGCAAGTGAGGCTTTTGCCTTTCTCTACAATGATCGGGGGAAGGTTGTGGCCATTGCTGTTCCCGGCTTAGGTCTGTTCAGCTGCCTTCTGGGACTCCTTGGGTAGTCTTGGCTCCTGAAGGGAGGGACTCTGTGTCCCATACGTGCCTGCCGGTGGACCTGACCCTGTCATTTCCATGTGTGTCCCCAATCCTAGCTCAATAGCAGGCCTAGCCAGCAGTTTCCAATCAGTGCTGCCGGTGAATGTCACATGGCCAGGACAAATTCCTGGTCACGTGGAATTTAGCTTTCTGAGCAGAAAGTGTAAACCAAGCACTGGGATAAAAGCAATAACTAGTTAGGAGCTCTGGGCTCATTGCTGTGTGGGGATTCCTCCTGCAGGAGGAGCAGGGCCAGCCTGAGGGATGCTCTCCCCTTCCAGGCAGGCCTGGCTTGCTTGTGCTCACAGGGATAACACCTGCCATGAGAGGACACCACAGTTTGGTGTGGATTTCCACACTTGGGGGCCGATGGGGACAGCATCTTAAGAACAAAGGCGTTTCCACACCTGAGAGTAATAAGATTTCTTGTTTTGGTAAAATAAGTTCCATAATAGGGGAATTGTAAGAATTAACTATTATGACAAAATATAATCTAACTACTAAAATCATGTGTTTGGAGAATAATAATAGCATGGAAAATTCTCAATTAAATTTTAAAGGGAAAATGTTGGCTTCCAACTGTGAACACGGCAAGATCATCATTTCGCTTGAAGAACAGACCAAAGTATGGAACAACAGGCCACACTGTCAGAAGTGGCGCAGCTTGGGAGTGAAATTCTCAACTTTCATTTCCCTACATGATGAGCATGGAGCACCTTTGTAACACCAGCAAGCAGACCCTGCTCGCTTTGACACGAGAGGGAGCAGGCGAGCAGGTATCTCTGCCTTTCCCACAGTGCAGGTCCAGCCTGTGGAATGTTCTTCTGGCTCTGAGGCGGCATTCTCCTCTTGGCCCTACGGGACCCTTCCCAGACTCTGACAGGTGTTCCTTGAAGCCCTTTATACTCTCATCTCAGTCCAAAGATTAGCCTGGACTGGCCCTGGCTCTGGGTCACAGACCAAGTTAAGTCCACGTTGCCTGGGGAATCAACAGGCAAGCACCACATCCCTGTTTGAGAGTCCCATCTCCTGGAGAGACTCCACCCTCTAGGACTGAGGACGAACAACTGGCCCTGATGTCACCTGTCAAAACTGTCTCACCCTTATACCATGAGGCCTGGCCTATAAAGGGAAAACTGAGCTTGAAGAAAATCTACTGTGACCTTCTGTCATCCAAATATCACCATCCTATCCTACTGGTGTAGCTTTCTGTGACCAGGACACTCACGTCTTCTTTGGAAGAGTAGCTAACTCTGCTGAATGTTCCAACTGTGCTGATTTCTCCTGTGATTCACCTGGGCAGTACTATGTCTGTGTCCCGGTCAGGGCTGGGAGATGCTCCTCTGAGCACCCCACACACAACAGGGAGCCAGAGCTTATAACCAGTTGTACCTTTTGTGCCCAAGCCCATTACTGGCTGCTGCCATGAAAACAGCTCCACATCTTCCCAACCTCATGCACCACTCTCCAAACTTCCTGCTTGGCCCTCCCCTACCTCAGCCCTGTCTCCAAACACCCTGTACACTCCTGCCTTTATGCTTAATGCATGTGGTGTTCCCACTTGGGAAGTATTCTTTTCTATTCTCCTAAATTCTTCAAATCTCAGTAAAGATCCCACCTCTTCCAGAAAGTCTTCTTTGGTTGCTCCAAGCCATGGTTTCTAATTCCCAACCCTGAAGCTCAGGCTCAAGCCCTCCTCCTATCAGGACACGTCTCTTCTCATGTATGTTTTGTCCCTCCATCGAGTGCAAGCTACTTGACACAAAGGTCAGGACTGTTGGGCTCCATGCCTTAGGGACTCTTCCAGATGACAGTGACATGAGTGACTCTACTTTGCATATGTCTGCCCTTTAATAATGCATTGAGCAGGCTGGAGCCCTGCCACTATCTATCTGTGCTGTGGAGCTTACCCAGAGAGGCGGCATGTAAAAGGCAGTTCCCATCCCCTGTAGTGGCCAGAGGAAGAAGCCGTTTACAGCTCGTGCACACAGTGGACCACCAGTTGAGGCGACCTGGAACAGAAGCTCCCTTTAGAATGAATAGAATCCCAGAAAAGATAGGAATCATCAGGAGTGCATTTGCTAAGTAGGTACAAACATCAGTAAAATATTTTCTAGAGGATTTCTCGGGAGAAAGGCATTATAGTTACTTTTTTCTCAAATACAATACAGATTTCTCTTCCCCCTAAGATAAGAAATGGCCAAATTCTCCTATCACTTAGCAAAAGGATTATGAAACTCAAAAACAACTCTTTTGTTTGCTCCTTGAGCCTGGGAACATATTTTACAAAAATTATACAATTTCTTTGAATACTGTTTACCCTCCTAAAAGTTATTTTTTCTTCAGTCATCCTTTTAATGATTCATACATACCTTTGAAAGTACAGTTTATATTTCATTTAATACATCAAAACCAGTATAGCTTCTTAGGTATAGTCATGTTACATTTCATTAACACTTCATTTATTTCTGGGAAGACAGAATAGAGGTGGTTTTCCCTATTCTTCCTACTAAGTACTACTACAACCCCCGCACATTATGTATAAAATAATAGAAGAAGCCCCTGAAGAGTTAAGAGAAAGTGGTGGACGGGCCAGAGCCATGGGACCTGAGAAACAATATAATGGGAGGGTCCCTTCTTTTCTTTTTGCCCTGCATATCTCAGACTAGATACTGGAGAGACTTGCAATCTAGAAATACCAGTGAGAGCAGATAGAAAAAAAAAAAAGGAAACTGAAAAGCATGTTCCCTCTAGACAGAATACCAGGAAAGGGGTGGCTAAGTGGGAATGTAACAGCTTAGACATTAACCACCCTATTCCAGCCAAACACCACAGAAAAAAATTGTAGCCTCACCACCATCCCTGCCAAGAAGGCCTGGAAGGGAGCCCAGACTTCCGTTCTTGTTGGCTGTAACAAGGTGTTCACTGCTGCCTCCCCCACTGCCTGGGCAATGTCAGAGAAGGCTAAGTGTAGAACCAGGACTTCTACCCTGCTGGGAGGTAACAAGTACCTCACCCACTCTCTGTCAGCAGAGGACATAAAAGGATCCTAGACTTTCACACTCATCTAGTGGTAATGAGACTACCCACCCCTCCTAGCTAGGGTGGAACCTGCATTTCTTCCTCTTCCCAGTAGTACCAAGAAGCCCATCCTATATCAGATATCATCTGAAGCAGAGCAGAGAACCTGTACTTTTACTCTCCTCTAGAAGGTGTGAGGCAATGGCCCCCTGCATCTACCAGAGTGATGTCAGAGGAGGTCTGCTAAAATACAAGATTTAAATAAGATCCAGAGTCCTATAACTTAATACTCAATACGTACACTTTTTAATACAAAAATCACTTATACCAATAACCAGGAAAATTTCACATGGAACAAGAAAAGACAATCGATAGACAAAAAAAACTGATGTTAGAATTATCTGACTGAGATTTAAAAGCAGTCATAATAAAAATGCTTCATCTAGGAATTACAAACATGCTTGAAACAAATGAAAAAATAGAAAATGTCAGTAAAGAAATAGAAAGTTTCACTAAAACAAGAGAAGATCCAAATAAAAACCACATGAAAATTCTGTAATTGAAAAATACAATAGCTGTTTTAAAAAACTTAATGGATATATTCAAAAGGAGAATGGTGAGAACAGAAGAAATAATCAGTGAATATTAAAAGCAGAACATAAGAAATTATTCAATTTGTGTAATAAAAAGAAACTAAAACAAATAAACACCATCACCCACAACTTCAGAAACATGTGGGACTACAACAAAAAATCTAATATTCATATCACTCGAATCTCACAAGCAAGGAGAAATAGAGTTTAAAAGTATCCAAAGAAATAATCACCAAAAATTTCCTATTTCTTACAAACAAACAAACAAATAGATTCAAGAAGCTGAGCAAACCCCAAACAGAAAAAACACATGGAAATTCATGCCAAAATATACGTAGTCAAACTTCTGAAAACATATGACAAAGAAAAAAAAATACTCTACTTACATAGTATACAGGAAAAATAACTTAAAAGACAATGGATTTCTCATATTTAAAAACTCCCATAGAACTAGGAATAGAATTGAACCTCCACAACTTGATAATAAAAATCTATAAAAACCATACAGTTAACATAACAATTAACAGTGAAAGACTGAATGCTGTAACCCAGGATTCAGAAAAAGGCAAGATAGCCCATTTTCACTATTGCTATTCAGCACAGTAGTAGGAGTCCTAGCCTGCAGAATAAGTCAAGAAGAAGAAATAAAATCTGTATTCACAAATCAGAAAGGAATAATGAACACTATCCTTATTTTCAGATGCCATGATAGCATACATAAAAAATCATAAGGAAGCTACCCCCAAAATTATAACTAATAAGTAATTTTGTCAAGGGCATGGAATATAAGATTAACATACACAAATCAACTGTATAGTCATCTCTCAGTATAAGTGAGGGATTAGTTCTAGGACTTTCAATATATATCAAAATCCATGACTACTCAAGTCCTATAGTCAGCCATGTGGAACTCATGCATACAAGAAATCAGTCTTCTGTAACATGAGTTTTGCATCTTATAAATACTATACTTATGATCCCTGTTTGGTTGAAAAAAGTCTGTGTTTAAGTGGACCTATGCAATTCAAACCTGGATTGTTCAAGGGTCGACTGTATTTTACATATTAGCAATGAGAGCATGGGATTTCAAATTTAAAAATATACCATTTACAATCACTCAAAATTTTAAATATTTAGGCCAGGTGCAGTGGCTAGTGCATGTAATCTTAGCACCCTGGGAGGCTGAGGTGGGTGAATTGCCTGAGCTCACAGGTTTAAGACAAGCCTGAGCCAGAACTCAACTTCATCTCTAAAAATAGCCGGGCATTGTGGCAGCACTTGTAGTCCCAGGTACTTGGGAGGCTGAGGCAAGAGAAGCCCAAGAGTTTGAGGTTGCTGTGACCTGTGATGCCACAGTGCTCTACCCAGGGTGACAAAGTGAGACTGTCTCAAAAAAAAAAAAATTAAATACTTAGGTATAGATTTAACATAACATATTCAGTATCTGCATGCTGAAAATTCTTATGAAAGATAGATCACAACTATAGCCCCAGATGAAGGAGAGAAATGGAAGGGGACGGCGGGGGGTTGTTAGAGGGAGGGTAAATGGTGGGACCACACCTATGGAGCACATTGCAAAGGTAAAAGTCAAATCTATCAAGTATAGAACATAAATGTATTAACATAATAATCAACAAATGAGGCAAAAGCTATATTAATTAGTTGATGTAAGCACTCCAAATTGTATAAAAAATCATTATGTGTACTCCAAGAATGCATACATGTATTTTTTTTTTTTTTT